AAGCCCCAGTACTGGCATTAAAAACAAAGAAATATAAAAAAGTAGGTCAGAGTTTTGCTAAAAGCATTAATTATGTTCATGAAACACTTTCCATTTATTATCATGCATTTTCCTCAGATAGATTTTTATCAAATGAGAATGTCTTTATAATTTGTTATTTTTCAGTATCCTTTTAGATAGTACTTGGCAGATTTCTCAACTTAACTTGTACTCAAAATATCTAATGAAATCCTTAAGAAGGTACAAAAGTCAACTGACTATGGTGATCAGATTATAGAGAGTACAATAACTAGGAAGACAGAAGCAAACAGATGATGATGGAGTACAGAGAGATGGCCACTAAGCATGTAGGCTTTTTGCTTAAACCCTGTTATTTCTTCACCTAAAAAGTACAGCAGATAGCCGGGCAGCGGTGGCTCATACCTGTAATCTTAGATACTCAGGAGGCTGAGATTTGAGGATCACAGTTCAAAATCAGCCAGAGCAGGAAAGTCCTGGGAGACTCTTACCTCCTAGTAACCACTAGAAAAGAGCAAGTGGTACTGTAGCTCAAGTGGTAGAGTGTTAGCCTTGAGCTGAAGCTCTGAGGTTCAGCACCCAGGCCGAGTTCAAGCCCTATGACCTACACCCCCCCCAAAAAAAAAGTGAAGCAGAGAAGCAGTTGGAGTATATAGATATATAGAGACACTCAAACTTTGAACTTTTATAATAAATGTGTCCTGAAAAAGAAATTAAAGATAAGGCAATAACAATTCATTTAATAATGCCGAATCAAATATAGTGTGGACAGTTTGAATATACACTAAATATTTCCATATATTTTAAGTATTTCTTTCAAGTATACATTAATTAAACACTGGGAGAAATAGAATACAATTATATCTGCATCTAGGTATCTATCCTCTCTCCCATAATTTGTCTAATCCTCCAGTGAAAGAAACTGTTATTTTGCTTTCCTAGTAATAGTATTTTTTGTTTTTTCTCCTTTGTCACTGTCTTTGTTTTCTGTACCTTTTGTCTTGTATGTAAGTTTATCTGGGGGGGGGGGCGGTAAGGGAAACACAGAAATGGTAGGACAAAGGGTGAACAAATGCAGCAGTGATTCTCACTAGACACTATGTTTGAGAGGAAATCTACAACTTGTGGGTTGTTCAGGAGGGAGAAATGAGGAGAAAATGTGGGAAGAGGTGACACTGTTGAACAATGTACTACCTGCTTTATTTAACTGTAACCTCTCTATACATCACATTTACAATATAGTAACATTCTTAAAAGACAAAGCCAGCAGAGGGCGCTAAGTTCCTGAGTAGTTTGCTGAAGCAGCCAAGGTCCGGTACAACAGAACACTGTTCTTACTTTGCAGTCCACAGTGCTAAAACCAGATGACACAACAGCTCATGGCAGAGATCACAGCACAAATGTTTCAGTAAAAAAAAGTATCAAAAGAAAATAGTATTTTAAAAGAAGTAAATATCACACACACACACACACACACACACACACACACACACACATACACACGGAGGCTTCAGAATTTGAGAAGATTGTAGGATTTTCTGTGCAGAGAGTAGTTGCCAGCTGCCACCCCTCTGAAGAGGAACAACTAAGATCTGGGCTACAGGTGACAACTGAATGCAGGGGCCGTTTAGTGGATACACAACTCTTTTAGCCACAGGACCCTAGCATCTTGAAATTCTCCCTCATTTTTAATAGTACTACATGCTGCATTTCAAGTCTCTATTGTGTGTAGGACATTACTTTGAGAGTTGTTGTACACTCCTTGCCATGGCAATGTGGCAGGGTGTGAGGACACACCTTATGATAAGCCTGGCTGGGAGGCCTGCAGGGAGGGGCCTGGGCTTCCCGCCCTGCCGCCAGCATTCTCCCAGGGTTAGTCTAATCATAAAATGAACATGCATTATTGTCTGCCTCATTAGCACTGGGTGGGAATCTCTAAAATCACAACCCTCTCAGGACAGAGTGCTTTAAATATCTACCCGGTGAGAGAAAGGAGGTCCTTGTAAAGCATTTGACTTTGACCTCTCCTTCACCACCTGGATGGATAAAGGTAATAAACAGTTTGAAGGGGGGTTGGGGATGGCCTTGGGGAGTGGGCAGGACCACAGAGAAAAAGAAATTTCAGGGAAAGAAAAATATCTCTTTTCACCCTGGCTGCCAAATTAAAGTGGGCCCAATGTAGAGAAAGGGAGAAAATATTATATTAAATGATATTCAGGGCTTTGGATGATGATACTTAAAGCACAGGTTTTAGTTTCTGAACTGGATCTTAAGCAGACTTAGAGAAATAAGCAAAATGACCATGCACTACAGGTTTCAAACTAGTCAATGGTATGTTTTCTTTCAATAATTTCATAGAGTTCATGGGCTGAATTTTGAAACTGCTCAATTTATAAATTAACTTACTCACAAACCTCAGAATGTGACTGTGGTTGGGGATTTATGATCTTTAAAGAGATAATTAAGGTAAATATGGTTTTTAGTGGGGGGACCTAATATAACTTTAACAAAAAGAAATTTAGGGCACAGGAAGGCACACAGTAAAAACCAGGTGAAACCAGGGTAAAAATGCTTACCTCCCAGATAAGATGAAAAACACTGGCCAGGAGAAATCAACTCAACCAGCAGTTGGATGTTGGACTTCTGGCCCATTACAAAATAAGTATCTGTTGTTTGTACTACACGACTCTGACAACTTTGTTTTGACAGTTCTCTAAAACTAAGGCAATAGGGACAACAAAAGCAGAGTCATTATGATGACTCAAGAATCTCTAGAAGGTACAATAATCATCAGATCCACAAGAGGGAGTGGAGAGTACTCTTGGAACTTAAAAATCTGGGCAAAAATCACCTTTCAGGATTTTTTATGCTTTTGACTACATCATAACATAAAATAGTACTAAAATAGATCATAATGTTATGTGTTTAGACAACATAAACACCAAATATAAAAGAATGTTCAAAACACTATAAATTATTGAATGTACAATTATATAAAGATTTCTCCTTATACACTAAATACTTAAGTTGGTATGTAGCTTTAGGAATATTAATGAAATGTCACAGTAATCAAGCGTAACGTCTATGAAATACATTACACCTGATTTTCGTTTACAGGTCATCATGTTGTGTTCTTAATGGTAACTTCCTATTTCCTAAATAATGGGAGGAAGGGCACAGTAATCATTTTCCACTGCTTCTACTCACCTTAGTTAACCTCACAACAGGGACTTTGAATCAATTGTCATTAACTGTTATTTTTAAGTGGAGAAACTGAAAACATATTGTAAATCTGAGATTTGTGTGATTCAATGTTTTTTAAGAGTATTGGTTCTACCTTGGATCTTATAGTTAATAACTGTAGTAGAGTATAGAAACTTGTATGGCATATGAATAGTTTCCTTTTTTTGGTAAAAAAAAGCAAAGAATTGAGAGTTTGCTAATGAGAAAATCAATTCATATGGTCATCAATGTGTAATAATTTAATCTAAGTTATAGTCCTTCATTGGTAAGCAAGTTTGCATTATAGCCAGACATAAAGGTTTTACCGATAACACCAGAGAATGGGAAGGCTGGTGCTGGGAGCTACATGTCCCACCGGAGACAATCTTCATGTGTATTGTAACATGCAATAGCAGCCATAGGGGACAATTACTTCCTCAGAAAATCAGGGAAGCATTTGAGGTTGTCCCCACAGTTTAAGGAACTTAGGAGTAGTGAATCTAGAGAGGAGATAGTAGAAGATGAAGTCAGGAAACTCATAAGATGTAAGAACTTCTCAGCTCCGTGGTCCACAGCGTGGACACAGGCAGGCAGGCATACATTCTACTGAACTCCTGTCCAGTTCTTTAGGAACTGGGTATTTTATCAAAGCAGGAATCAACATTCAGCTCTAAAACCTGGGATTAGCTCCTGGTTTGGAAAACAGTAACTATTGATAACCAAATGCTATCTGAATACCTGGTCATCTGCAAGTACTTCCTGTACACTGTTTCAGTATACTCAAAATGAGTTCCATGAGCCATGGCTCACAACCGGATATTAAAAACTGCAGATAAAATGTAAGGGAGATAAAATAAATAAATAATGGAAATCGAATCTAAATTTCCTGATCAAATCGAAGACAGACTTGTACTACCATGCTGTGAATTTTTATTATTAAAAGGAATAAGAAATGGTCAAGTATAAAAGTGAGATCTTTATCATATACAAAAACAAATAAATTTTGATTTTACATTTTGCCAACAAGTAATGAAGGTTATTTACAGATTTCTTTGTTCAAGATAAAGCTACTTATATGACAAGACAATTAGCAAATATTTCCAGCACAAAGGTTAAAGATAATTTCAAGTGTCAGTAATATATGAAAGTATCCACACTAAGTTTAACATGAAATAAAATATAGTTACCATTTGAATTTTCTAACAATGAGTCTATAATCTTGGATATCCTGATTAACATACCCTGGCTATCCGGAGAACTGCTGTAATTAAGTTTTGTGAAAACTACATAGGAAAGAGCCTATAACTAACAAGATGCCCAAAGAAGGTAATTCTAAAATCTTCAAAAACTTACCCAGGATATTTAATATTATTTTCAAGATGCAGTTATATTTGAAAGAAATATTTGCTCCAAAATAGCTACCATTATTTCTGTAAGGGTGTAACTGGTCACACAATGTCCAAAACAGGAGCCATCACTTATTTGCTCCATAAGTTTAAAAACACGATTGAAGATTTATAATCCAAATTTTCTGCAGGAAACTAGCAAGTAACAAGCTTCATCAAAATCCTCTAAAAGTTATGTGCTCTCTGTATTTTTGCATTTGAGGGGGGAAAGACAACAGAGGTGAAGCAGCTTTCTCAGGAACACACAGCAGAGGTCACTTGGATTTGTTTCACAAATTTCCCCAGGTAGAACTGCTACCCTGTGACATGCTGAAAAGGAGATACTAATTTGTTTGCTGAATTATGTATTTTCAGGTGTTTTCATACACTGCTGACAAAGAAATCCGAACTGATGACTTGTGCTTGGATGTCTCCAGGCTCAATGGACCTGTGATCATGTTAAAATGCCACCATATGAGAGGAAACCAGCTGTGGGACTATGACGCTGAGGTACAGCGCTACCATTTGCTATCCAATGCTTAACTTTGGTGATGAATGTATAAAACAATTGAATTAAAGCTGGTTTTGCTACAATAAAGTATCGTATCTAAAGCATGAAAAGCCATATCTGATCGTATTAGCAGGGCATACACTAGAAGTACAATATTGCCAAGCTGACCTAGCCATATAAAACATGAATAATCACAGCTGAAATTATCATCTCCATCTATATACTCAGCATAAATTACACAAGGGACAAACTGCTTCTCCAACCAAGGCTCATAGGCAGATGTACACAGAAAACAGTATTGATAGTATGTCTGTGTTTTCAAAGTTTTAATTTGATGCCACTTTAAATCTCTCATACTTACACTTGATGAACTCAAATAAAAATTTGACAGGCTTAACAAGATGTACTCATTATTGAAATGACTATTTCCAATGCTTCTCTACTTTTACCATAGTATTTTTTCATAAAATTACATAAGCCAATTAAACATGTAATCAGCAAAACAGCCCTCATCTATATAGGATACTTTCCTCACAGAAAATACCAGAATTACTAGTAGGAATGTATGGCCAGGCAGTGTGTAAAAATCAGTTCAGCCATCAGATGGAGCTAATAAAAAAGAAATATTTTCCTCTACAAAAGTAGCAGCCTCCAAAACAGCTTCTTGTCTTCCAGTTCTCTTTGCCTAGCAAAATGGACTGGTCATTTGTGCCAAATTTCCAGCATTATTAAATGGTCAGTAATGTGTTTGCAAAAGCAAATGATACAAGTTATGTTTTTGCAAGAGCAAATGATACAAGCTAAATGATACAATAAACATGAACCAATCTCACAGCGGCGGTGTTCCATGAAAGCCTAAAATGTTCTGTATGAATAATATTTTAAATACTAGCCTGCAGAGTTTTGGGCATTACTGACATTTGTACCAATTATTTTCAAAACAGTTGAGAGTTCTTTTTTTATTTCATGACTTTGTAGTTTCTTAAACTGCATACCAGAAATACTTTTATAAATTAATTCTGATAGGATTCCAAACTGATTATGTTGGACTAATTTGGTGACTAACGTATATTCAATATTTCTAGACTCTTGGGACACAACATCTTTCTGGGATGTCATTAAGGACAAACACCCTGAATCATTCTGTGGTGTACCAATGTGATCCACTCCCTCTTTTGCCTTCAACCATTTAGCCACTAGTGGTTTTTTTTCCTCCAGCTATGATTTATTATCATGATACCTTACATTAAATCTACAGGAGAGCTTTCCTCAGTCTTACCTGAGAGCAAATCTAGACCCTTAATAAGTGTTCTCCTCCTTTTCCTGTAAGGAAACTTATAGACCAGTGTACAAAGTACAAGCTCTGCAAACAGTATTTGCTTGAATTTATTGTACAGTACAATGGGTTTCATTATGACATTGCCCCACCTGCATATTGATCTTATTTACCCTCTTTGCCCTCCCCTTTCCTTAGTATTTTATTTTAAAATAAAACTTGTTATTGTACTGAGTTTTGTCCAACAACACCAGACTCCACTGAGATAATGCAAAAACATGAGACTGTCTTTTTCAGGAAGAGGTTTACTTTTTATTGTTGCTAAGATTTTACTTCTGTATAAGACAAGGAATTGTTAATTGCCACAGTAGCACTGTTAATCTTTAAACTTCTATGTAACTCTGTGTGTGTGTGTGTGTGTGTGTGTGTGTGTGAATGTGAGTGTGAGTCCTGTGGCTTGAATTCAGGATCTGGGTACTATCTTTGAGCTTCCTTCAGGTAGCACTCTACCACTTGAATCACAACTGCACTTCCAGCTTTTTGGTCATTAATTGGAGATGAGAGTCTCTAATTGCCCAGGTTGGCTCCAAACTAGGATCATCAGATTTTAGCCTCCTGAGTATCTAGCCTCTGGCATCCAGGACCTATGTAACTTTTGATGGGTCCTAGTCATAACTCAGAGTCCTTCACTTCTAAAATAACTGGTTGGAAATTAACTGCATATTATTGTTTATATTATCTGGTTATTGAATACTAAGCAAGAGGGATAAAATGTAGCTTCATCTAAGATAAAGTAATGGTTTGGGACATCAGTCCTCTCACATGATCAGTGGTTGTGTGCTGCAGTACTTCAGAGCACTTCAGTATCGCTTTGGAGTACACACAAGAAAGCTTTATGATATAAATATTGACAGATTTTATTTTAAGTAAGTAATCTGACATTTATCTCCCACAAGTTAATAATTACATTTCATGATTTAATTCACTCTTATATAAACATGTATGTTCAAAATGAGATGTTCAACTGATCTTATGATGTGATAACTAAATTCAATGTATAATTCATAATATAAAGATATGAGGATGGAACAAATAAGGGAATGTACACCACATTTCTGAATTTAATCATTGGTTTTTATTCCGGTACCAGCTTTAATGTTATTACCTTTAAGCATTTTTACAAAGAGGTTTCAATTTTACAGGTCAATTTATAAATGCAAAGCATTTTGATCAGTATTACCTCCTCCATTGTTCTTTATCTCTCCCATCTTCCAGCATCTTAGGAGGTATATCTCTCATGTCACCACTCACACTTGTCACACCACACTCAGTCTGTCCTTGAAGATAATTTTTTGACACAGTGGTGTTGAACCATGATCTTTTTACTTCTATCTCCCAAGTAACTGGGATTAGGAATGTGTTCAATGGCCCAATCAACTTTGATTGCATTTTTGAAGTCATTAAAAGGGAAATAATTAGTCTGGGCCTGGTGGCTAACTTCTATAATCCTAGCTACTCAGGAGGCTGAGATCTGAGAATCTTAGTATGGAGCCACCCAACCTAGATAAATCTTCAAGATGCTTATCTTCAGAAAACCTGCAGAAAACCAGAAATGGGATCATTGTTCAAGTTGTATGGTACCAACTTGAGCTATAAAGCAGAGAATGATGCCCTTCAGTTCAAGCCTTAATATTGATAAAGAAACAAGGAAAGAAAGAAAGAAAGAAAGAAAGAAAGAAAGAAAGAAAGAAAGAAAGAAAGAAAGAAAGAAAGAAAGAAAGAAAAGAAAGAAAGGAAAGAAAGAAAAAATGAAAGGTAAGAAAGAAAGAGAAGAAATTAAAATAGATAATTTTACCTTTTAATTATTTCCTTTTTCTGTCCAAGAATAAAACATTCTAGGATTAGCAGCATTTCCTGGGAAATAGTTATAAATGTTGAATCCGAGACACTATGCTTAACATACTAGATCCAAGTCTCTGCTTTAACAAAATCCCATGAGTTATTTATACAGTCACTAAAATTTGTTTTAGATTGTGATCAGCTCGCAGTGTTTTCCATTTTCTGTTGTGCATTGCTGGAAAATGTTGCAAAGTTAGGGAAGACATAAATACACTTTGGAAACATGCAAGGCTTGGAATGGGAGCAAAGGATGAGAGGTGCTGAGACCTGAAAACCAAGGCACCGCTTGGTAGCTCTATTCTTATTTTATGACTCGGGATCGTAGACAAATGCTCCTTATTACTATATTTATTCAGTTTTTATCATCTTCTAGCATGGGTGAAATTATTCTTTGGGAAACCTGTGAGGTGGTACAGTTTTCAGGACAAATAAAAATTGGAGGAGTTCAAAGAATTATAGAGGTAAAATGTATCTTAAGTTCTCTCAGTTCAGCCTTTATCAAGCAAAAGCTAAAGCACAAAGATTACCCTGCCAGCAGCAGAGCTAGGATTTAGATCCTAATAAAACTTTCAAAGAAAGCTAGTTATCAGTGCAATTGTGAATCTCCTAGTGTGAATAGCAGAAGTATTCCAGCAACTTATCTCCCACAGTTCTTTCAGCCTTAGTAAGAAAAGACATAAAAAAGGAGCAGAACGGTTAGAATATCCACAGAAAAATGGAAGCAATGTTACAAAGCCTCAAAGTATGGAATCTTCCCAACTACTTTGGTTCTGTATACTTCTCAGGTGAACAAGGAGAGAAGAGAAGGAAATAAAATGAATTAAGGGTTAAAATGGAACTTCTTTTTGACACCTTCCTTATAATGGCCTTATAGAAGAGAGACATAGTTTCACGATTTTTCATAGTAGGAAACTGGAGCAGAGTTTGTCGATATTGTCTGAGTTTGTCCAGCCCAGCTTCTGTCAATCAACCTGACATTTTTCTATTAGCATACATTGCTTCACAAAGTAATTGAAACACTATATGTATAATTACTTGTCATCAATGCAGATGATCTAATAAACTAAATGTGCAATATCACAAATAAATAATTAAATACCAGCAATTATTTGCTGGATTTCTCCTTTCCTAAATCATAGGAAAATAGTTTTATCTCAGTAAACAGAGAGTCATATGACTACTCTATCATGATGGGCTAATTAATATTTTACACTTATATTGACACAACTTAAACACAAAAGAAAAATCTGAATTCATCTTTCAGTTAAATGTTAAACATTATTTCCATGCAAATCGGTTACTGGTCTATTCCATTTTATTCATGTTTCTTATATACTGTTTGAATTTCACAATTATGTTCCAATCTATTTGAAATTTACATTTTTCTGCAATATGTGCACTTAATTACATTTCTTTTTGAACACCCAGGTAGTTACATACAATGTAAGAATTTAATTTTAGGTTAGAACACTTATGCTCAGCAAACACTATGCAACAAAGAAAAAAGGGAAGCAAAATATGATGCTAAAAATGTCTTGTTTTGCATGTGACTGAGAAAATACTTGTTATGAATTCTATATCCATCTGTATGAAATGTTCCTTAGAGCCACAGTACAGGGAAATCTCTTTCCAGCAGGTAAAGTATGTTAGATTGATATTTAATGAAATTACAGAAACATCTATTTAGTCTTTCCTTAACCCATCTCTTTTATTTACATTATCAGAAAGCAGGTAAATGGGAATATAACTTCAAGGTAAGTGACATACAAATGCAGCCTAGCTATGTCCCAATGTAGAATTCCAAATAAAGCCCTAGTGGAATTTACCTTTTGAAAATAGTGTATGTTAGACAAACTAAACTTCCCATATTCCTAATGACCCATATCTTTTGATAGTTAATAGAAATTTCAGTAGTTTAGACTGTGTACTTCCTCTTTACTGAGCATTTGCACTTTACTTTTAGAATACCTATATCTTGGTCTGTTGACTGTATAGTTTGTATTATCAAGTGATCATAATTAATACTTTCAATAACTTTATTAGATTAATTTTAACTATTGTCAATCTGCATTTAGTCAACAGGAAAATTTTATTATTTATGTTCTGAAATTATATGTAATAGTCTAAGTTTACTCTAATATTCATCATAAGTTAATTCTTTTTACTGGTTAATTTGAAAGTTTTAGTATACCAACTGAGATTTATGTGATTGTTTCTTAAATCAACTATACAGTCAATACTAGCTGTTCATAAAAAATCAAAAATTTTACTTACTTATTTTAATACAAAGATATGACCAAATTTATAACATTATAATTATTTTTAGCAGTGGAATTATTTCCATAGCCTGATTCTCACTGGCTTTAAGTAGAAACTGTATCTTTGAAAGGATAAAAACAAAATATGTCTGTTTTTAAGGGATAGACACATTATGTCTCAGCAAACAATAATTCAATGGATTATGATTAAGTAAATCTCCATTAGAAATAAAAATCAATCATTACTGAGGGTACATATTACTCTATTTTGTATTCAATATTTTGAATACCACTAGAGGAGAAGATATCTGGCTGTCAAGTGCATATCAGTTGGATGTCATATTGCCTTCAACACGTAGCCTCTTAATGAGGTATTTGCAACAAATGTGACCAAAGACTGATAAACTTAATAGAGAGAATTTGAAAGGGTAAACCAAATACCCAGTTTAGGAGCATGCATAATTTTGACTGAACACCATAGAAAGTGTTCCATTGTTAAGTGAAGTAAGCATCGCAAACACATACATGAAATTATTTCCTAAAAGTTATTTTATTAATTTCTCTTTCATCCTGTCCATAAAGCAAAATGGTTTTTAACAAGCATCATATCATACTGATGAGATACTAACACTGATGGCACAGTGTGGATGAAATACAGGGCACAGCAGTTGCTGATAAATTATTATCACAGATAGTTTCATAAACAGCTCTGCTAACTTACTTTAAAATGTCCAATACTTTGACTTTGTAATTTCATTCCTAAGAGTAAGTTTTAAAGAACTAATTACAGATCTAGACAGATGTTCAAAAGATGTTTGCTGGCGCATTATTTGCAAAAGTTATCAATCAGAAAGACATTCATCTCAAATAGAAAATTTAAATAAATTTGGCAAATCCATTTTATAGAAATGATTCTCTTAATGGCATTTTCACATTATTTTAATGATAAGAAAGATATCCACATTATAAATGGAACAAGAATGCTTCATTTTAAGGCCTCAATTAAATAAGCAGTCATACATAAAATTATTGTAAAACAATTATTGGTTATTGTTATTTCTTCAAAACAGTCAGAAAAATAAATCATACTTTTCAAGCAAAATAACTCAAACTTTATGGATTTTCTTAAAAAATGGAAAGTAAATATTATAGTAATGTGGTGGATTTTTCTAAATTTTTCCTGATTAATGGATCTTTTTAAGTACCTGGACTAAAAGTTCTTTGACATTCTTTGTGGTCATTTATGTGATGGATGTTTCTAGGAAATTATTATAATTATGTTTTCTGATGAAATTTTTATCTTGCTGCCCTTCAGTCACTTTCTGTAGTCACTTGGTTTTCTAAACAACTAAAAAGTCATTTTGTTTGTTTTATACCAGAAAAATTATTTTTCAATAGCTCATGAAAGTTTGTAACTTCTAACAGTAGATCTTTTATATTAACATGGAATTTATGAGAAAAATATTTATTACAACAAGAGAAAATCACTAAGAAGCTGATAGCTCCCACAATGTGCATAATATATTTCATTTTTAGTCTGCTTAACAGTCATATGATATCATTAAAAGTATCAGTTCCCAATAATATATAATATATTCTTATGTTTTTCTTTTCTTTGTAAATAATGTATATAAAATTTTATTGTAGAAGATAAATCCTTGAAAAGATACATCCAATGATTGTAAACATTGCTGCCCAAGAGATGTGATTTCTTCCAACAGAATTTTATTTTCTGCGCTCATCTTTCATTAAGTATTTCACTCAACAAACGTATTTAATGTCTTCCATGGGCTGGCACCTGTCATCATGTCGGAAGCTGTAGTCCAGGATCTTTCTTGAGCTTAGGCTGTTGCAGAGGAAGTGGATGCAAGGCAAGAAACAGTCTAGTTAATTAATGTAATTAATTAAGTTTGGAGAAAATTTGATCAAATTAGGCACCAAACCAAAGCTGATTAGTTTCTGTCCCCCCTCTTCACTAACTTAGTTCGCAGCTAATGAATGAACAGCTTTCATGAATCCTTAGAACTACTACATTAGCCCCATCAGAACTTTAGTAAGGTTAGTTTGAATGCCACACTGTGCAAACTAAAGCCTTTGAAACTAAAATATCCCTCAGATTCTTACCTAGTGTCCACTGAGGAAGCCAAGTATAATTAGAAAAATCTCTGGAATAACTGACTATTTTCATTACCCATGCACAACCCATTTGGAATGAAAAAACGTTTCACTACTAAAATTTTGAAAACATAATCTTTTTCTGTTCATAACAACTTTTACCCCCAGTTTTTCACCATTTGGGTTTAAGCTCATTACTCTCAGTCCTATCTCCATGTGTATCTGATGAGTAGAGTTGATATTAAATCTTCTAAGAGGAGGGTGTTCACTGCTTCGTGGATGCAATTATTGTGACATGTGTCTTTCAGCCTTATCCAGTAGAAATTATACGTTGCCCAAGATGATTGATTTATTACTACCTTTCTGCTTGGTTTTGTCATCATTCATTATTTTCTTTGTCAAACAGACTCATGCTCTTCTTCATAGAGTCACCCAGTCCTGTCTCTCAGTAAGCCAAGCAGCAGATGGCCCCCAGCATGCCATTGTGGAAACATGTAATGATAGCATTTTACAAAAATGGCTACTAAGAAACTACACAAGGATAGAAATTTTTAGAAATATTTTTGGAAATCTTACCAATTACTTGCTCAAGTGATATTTTAGAAGTTTGTGTTGCAGACTATATTTTAATGTGCAGGTATATTAAATAGGATTTATCAATAGCAATTTTTTTCTTTTTTATTGTGAAAATATTGTACAGAGGGGATACAATTACATGAGCAAGGTAATGAGTACATTTCTTATCAAGCATTGTTGCCTCCTCCTTTGTTTCCCTTTACCATCCCTGCCCATCTCCTCTCCTCCCACCCCACACCCTCTGGGCCAAAGTTGTGAAGTTTGTTTTTCGACATAATGTCTTGTACATATCATTGTTGCAGTGGGTCCACCTGTATCCCTATTTGAACAATTTGTTTTTCCCTTCCCCTCCACAAATTATACCAACATCAAATACAGTGAAAACAGGGGTTATACCATGGGGGAGGGACATACAAAGCAACACAAAAATCATCTTACAAATATGTTAGAAACAATGACAAGAAAGAAAAACCATTTGAGTCCTTATCTTGGGGTTCATTTCACCTAACATCAACTTGTCTGACCATTTCTGCTTGTCTCGGACATATAATAGTTATTACAAATAAGGGAAACCATGGGATCTATGTTTGTTTGGGGCTGGCTTACTTCACTTAATATAATTTTTTCCAAGTCTTTCCATTTCCTAACATACTTTCTGATGAAGGCATAGAATTCCATTGTATAAATGTACCACATTTTCCAGAAGGGAACCCTGCTGCATTGTTGGTGGAAGTGTAAACCTGTTCAACCACTTTGGAAAGCAGTATGGAGGTTTATCAAAAGACTCTACATAGAGTTCCCTATAACTCAGCAATTCCACTTTTGGGCATTTACCCAAATGATCACAAACAAGCCCATACTAAAGCTACCAGCACAACTATGTTTATTGCAGCATTATTTACCATACCTAAGATATGGAACCAACCCAGATGTCCCTCCATAGATGAATGGATCAATAGAAAATTTTTATTTCAAATATATATGTATGTAAATATAACTAATGGACTGAATTGTGAAATTTTAGTTCTAGTTAAAGCCAGCCATGTCTATGTAGCAGTGGGATTCTTCCTCAAAGCTGGAAAGAAATTAAGAAAAAAAGCTAACAGATGGCAAAAATAGAAGGGATAAACTGGGGAAAAGTGAAGGAAGGAGTGACATTGTCTAAAAAGAAATATAGTGATTACTTGGCTTGTCAAACAATAACCCCTCTGTATAACACCTTAAAAATCACAATTAAATTATATTTAGCAAAAGCTAACAGAGCTAAAAATGGATTGTTTTTGCAACACTAAGATTATTTATTTTCGTTAACTTTTATAGAGATGCTTTGGTATGTGCAAACATAGAGTATTCTGCAACACTAAGCAAATGCATTATTAATGACTAAATATACAATGTAAATTTCAGTACCTTTATGGAGAAAATTGTATTTGAGAATTTATTTGGTCGTTTAGATGACATAATTATAGTAATAAAACCTATTTTGCAGTGGTACCTTTTCTCACTTGTATGATTTGTGATTGTCTCCTTGGTAAATGAATGAAGTATTATTCCATTCAAGTGAACCAACTGGTATGGAATTCTTATAAACAGGGCAGATAAGAACATGTCCTAATTATCACTGAATTTTATTGTTCTTTGAAGAAGTGCCTTTTATGTTGCCTATTACCAGACTGGACACATGAGAAGTTGGGGGTGGGGCGGGGGTTTGGATCAACAGGGGGTTTAAGTAAACATTTAATCTCAGAAAGCTATAACAGAGTTCTAGGGCAGAAACAACAGTTTGCTTCTCTTCCCCTTGGGAAGCCAGCCTGTACCAGGTGACACCCTGGCCCAAGGTTATGAGATGTACAACACCCAGGTATATAAACTATCCTAGCTTAACGACCTCATCCTCACCACTGATATAATATCTCTGGTAAAAACCCTTACAGGACATGCAAAAGTTCAAGAGTGTACCACACTCTCTTACACTTAGAAAGTGTACCACACTTTGGATTCCTATGAAGTATTGAGGCAATATACAACTTTTCACTCAGAGAACATTTTACCATGTCATATTTCCTAGCATCATAGTTGGCAGTTATAACCTTTGTTTCATTGCCAAGGTCTCAGAGTTTAATTGACTGAAGATCAATTTATGTAATCTAAAGTAGAAAGGTATTAAGAAGTATTTGCTAAATATATCTCAGTTGTTGTTGTCTTTTTCAGACAAACTGATAACTAGGAAGATTTGGTGGTTTATCCAAGTATTCAGAGATAGTAGGTTGAGGGTAGAGAAATCAAAACTAAGGTCCACTTGAACCTGAAATGTCTGTTTTTTTCTGTATTCCATTAGAGTACAGAGTGTTGATTTTTTTAAATTAACTTTGCAGCCTATGAATACATTTTTCCAAGAAAAAAACTGATCAGTTTTTTTTAGAAAGAACAATACTGGCCAGACACTGGTGGCTCACACCTGCAATCTTACATACCCAGGAGGCTGAAATCTGAGGATTGAGGTTCAAAACCAATCCAGGCAGGTAAGTGTGTGAAACTCTAATCTCCAATTAACCCCAAAAAGCTGCAAGTGAAGGTGTGGCTCAAGTACCCAAGCACTAGTCTTGAGCAAAAGAACTCAGAGAAAGTGCTTAGGCACTGCGTTCAAGCCCCAGAGCCTGCACATACATATGCAGACACACACACACAAAAAAACACTAACCACTATTTAATCCATTGTTATTATTTGCATCATTGACAACTTATTCAAGGTAAAACTGACCAACAGACACTAGAGAAATGCATGGGCATTTCTCAATATAGGAACAATATAGGAATAATCCTATATGTCATTCACAGTGTGAGTAATGAATTTAACATACAGAGATAGTTAAATCAGAGATACATCTTCCACCCACTGCTTTTATAGACTCAGATTACCCTGTTGTTGATGGTGGGTATGAGCTTGATCTCAAGGCCTGGAAACTTTTTTTTAAATTTCTTTTAGTATTTTCATTTTCTTTAATTAGTTGTACAAAGGAGTTGCCATTCACCATAGCAGTTTATGAATACAGTGCATCTTGATCAAGGTCACTTCTTCCTACATTCACACCAATATCTTCCAATCCACCATTTTCCTTACTAATCTATAGTTATATATTGAATATTTTTTGCCATTTAACAAAGCACTTCAACATTTTCACCCCCTTTTGGCCCAACCCTTCCCTCATATTTCTCAATTCTATGGTATATACAATGCAGTTTTTTTACTCAGGCTAGAGCTCTACCACGTTGAGCCACAATTCCACTTTTGGTTTTTAGGTGGTTAATTGGAGAAAAGAGTCTCACAAACTTTCTTACCCATGCTGGCTTCAAACCACAATCCTCAGGTTTCAGACTCCTGAATAGCTAGGAATACAGGCATGGGCCACCAATGCCTGACTACATTCCTGTCTTTTGACAATATTACTGTAGAAGGTTAAACATGCTCCATACAACCAGGGATTTCCCCAGCATCATTCATATTCTAAGTATACCACTCAAATGTTTTGCAGCCAATCTCAGTCCCCACAGGGCACTACAGTTCTCACAAATACTAATGGAAAATATTTTTAGTGTGTGTTCTGTTATGACCTAAGGTACTGATACTTGATCAAAGTATGTAATTAGTGTGACAAACCTGATTAAAACAAAGTAATGGCAATACTCTCTGGGATAGTCAATGAGCACTAACATAATAGATATGTGTATGAAAAATCACATTTTTTTAAACAAAGGACTTCATAGAAGCACTCAATGGTAAGTGATTTAGGTTTGTAAAAAGAAGGTGTGTGTGTATGTGTGTGTGTGTGTGTGTACTCAAATTTATAACAAGTATGGAAAATTTTTCGTTTCGTCTGTGGCTTTATTTTTAACTAATGGATAGTTGAGTTTTGTAGCTTTGTAAGAATAAACCAGCCAAACTCTTGCCTATCATTAGAAATTATATTCTATTATATTCTTTTTTATTGTTTACTACAAATGGGTTGAGTATTTAAGAGCCAACTCAGAAGGGCTCAGTGTGGAAATCGCCTTCTAAACAGCATAGCTCTTTTAATTTCCTGTTTGTTGTCCATACGTATCTTCCTCAAAGGCTATCCTCTGTTCCATCTGTCTCAAAGTACTTCTGTTCAGGATGTTTTAGGCTTAATCTCGACAGATTACAATTGTCTGGCTGGTCTTTCTCTGATATTTGTATTACATGCCTTGCATATTCATTTTCAAGCCAATTCAATGTTGAGTCAAAAAATAATTCAAAAAAATCCTTTATCTACTCTTAACTCGTAATTTTCACTGGAGTGTCCTGGGTGCTATTTTCAGAATATGCCTGAAAGTCACTTCACACACATCCAAGCATTGATGATTGGAGAGTTTTTCTTGTAATATCTTCTGGGAATGAATCTGAGAAGATTTATATACAATTATAGAAATCATAGTGGTGGCTGGGAGAGTAATTGAAGTAGTAGAAGGCTTGATTAGCCAGTGCAAGGCTCTGAGTTCAAATACCACACTTGCACACTCATACACACACACACACACACACACATACATACACACACAATTTAAATGTTTATCCGGGAAGTTCACAATGTGATTTCCAATATATATGGTAAATTTAGAGAAATACTGTATAGTGATTGACATAATCATTAAAATTGTGAAAAAATATGATCAAGACATGCTTATTTGTTTGATATTAATATGTGTTAGGGTACTTAAAAATGATATGGTGAGTATACTTTAACAGAACACATTACCTGTTGTTATAATAATCATTTTTTATAATTGATATTTCAGATATTACCATGTGTTTAGCATTTTGAAATGGGAATATCTCTAGCAGTTTTGTTCATCTGGATTGTAGTTGTGACATCTATTTACATGTGAATCAAATAGTTACTAAATAACACATGCCTATGAAAACCAAGCTTTTGCAAAACTTGCTAAAATGTTTAGCCCTCAAGAGGACAAAAAGCTCACAAATGGCTCTTTTACAAAGATGTCTGAATTATTGGCAACCCATAATAAGTGTAGGCCAGTTTCTTAAACTATCTTCTTATTAAGGTGTATTAGACAATAATGATTCTATAACTAGTTCAGAGACACTTGTATGCAGTTCTTTTTATAATCATTTCACAGTATAAATTGTTACAATATTATTTTGAATGTTTTAAAGAACAGGTTTAATCTTCTGTGGTAGCAAAGATGAAATAGGTTACACTGATTATTGAATATCGTTCACAGAGACTCACCTTGAGACATGTTAACAGTAACCAGTGTCTTGACGAACCTTCTGAAGAAGACAAAATGGTGCCCACCATGCAGGACTGCAGCGGAAGCAGATCCCAACAGTGGCTGCTGAGAAACATGACTTTGGGGGCTTGAAGATCCTTCCCCCCAGCCATGGAGGTGTCTACATTTTGTTTCTTCATTGTTTTAGTTAGAGGAAGGTATTAACTTTGCTGAATTGAACATTAAAAAAATCCTTTTAGTACTCTAAAACACAGTTGTTTACAATTCATTTCTAGGAATGTTTGATTATTTCCCTACTAAAATTTGTATCTGATTGAAGAAGCACATAAAATATAAATAATAGCAGATGTTATTAAACATTGGAACAATTTGAAAAACAAATTGTGTTTGCTTTAAAATAATCTTTATTGTCCTCACATCACAGGGTTCTTGGGGAATTATTTTATTTTTTGTTGTCATAGAGATTAAAAAGAGAATGTAATGCCTTATTAAATAACTTCATTATAAAATATTATCAGTTACTTTATAAATTCACTGTTTCTACAGGAGTTTCATGGAAACAAATGTTGAATTTTTATGTCAATAATATGACTATAGAATAAATTATTTATTGGCATTGATTTCATCATTTAAATATTAGGCTCCATATTTTGTACCAAGAAAAACAATTAAATTGCTTATTCAATTCATGTCTTTATATTACTAACAACCAATTCCACATTGTGGTACATACCTGTAATCCTAGCTCCACAAGAATGCTAAAATTTGAGGATCAGTGTTTGAAGCCAACTTGGCCAGAAAAGTCTATGACACATTTGTTTCTAATAAACAGGCAGAAAGTTGGAAATGGAGATGTGATTTGAGTAGTAGAGCACTAGCCTTGAGTACAGAAGCTAATAGACAGAGTTAAAGCCCTGAGTTCAAGCCCCACAACTGGCACAAAATAAAAATGAAAGAATGAAGGAAAGAAAGAAAGGACAATAGAAAATGAGAGTGAGAGAGAGCGAGAGAGAGTGAGTGAATGAGAGAGAGCGAGACACACAGAGAGAGACAGAAAGAAAGAGAGAGAGAGAATAACTGGAAACAAAATGAAAGAAAAGCCAAAGAAAGAAAAAGAAGGAAAAGAAATGCAATGAGTCAGATAATCAGGAGTAGATGAAGGTAAACTGCCACAATTGCTGTAAGATATTTCAGCTCAGTTGTGGTCATTCCTCGCAGACTGAAGATCAACAAGTCTGCTCCCAGAGTTGATGTCAGAAACCCCAATCCTTAAGTGGTCTCTTGCCTCTAAATTATATCTTTTGTGTTTACTGGCAGGGGTAGATAATATTTCTCCTGCAAGGGTCATTTGGATATTTATGACATCATTTACAGTCTTAGATTTATTGAATTTCACTTTGATAAAAAGCTCCTAGATGTGATGAAGTTTAAGTACCCACATACAGTCCTTGGCAGGGGTAGATCAAATGATTTTACTAGCCTTACAAGGCTCCTAGACCAGATATATCCCCATGCCTGCAAAAGGCTGTAGCTTACCACTTACATTGTACAGAATTGTAAGAGAGGGTAAAGTTTTAGATTTAATTTTTACCTCTTATACATTTAGAGGTTTTGGTTTTTTTGCTATTGCTGTTCAAATTTTATATTAAAAATAATACATTGCTATTAGAATGTCATTACTATGTTGTATTACTTAACAATTTCATCACCTGGAGAGTAAACTTGCAGTACATTTCTAATTAAACTGCTATTTATCATTTTCCATAAATTAGGGTCCAAGAGACTCAGTCATAATTAGGTTAAGATCATGCACAAAATACTTTTGTATTCCAATTACATAAGCATAAGACATGAAAAGAAAGAAAAATATATCAATGACATTTTGAGTAATATGTTTTATAATTTTTTTTGGTCATGGGGCTTGAACTCTGGGCCTGGGTGCTGTCCCTTAGCTCTTCAGCTCAAGGCGAGCGCTCTACCACTTGAGCCACAACACCACTTCTGGTTTTCTGGTGGTTTATTGGAGATAAGTGTCTCATAGACTTTCCTGGGCCAGCTTTAAACTGCAACCCTCAGATCTCAGTCTCCTGAGTAGCTAGGATTACAGGCATGAGCCACCAGTGCTTGGCTTATATATTATAATTTAATAGCATTTTAAATTCTCATAAAGTTGTTCTACCTATATTTTCTACTTGTGATCAAAATCTACTTAGCAGCCAAGAGAAATTTGGGTTGAGGTGGGATTGAGGAAGAAGACTCCTCTGAAACAGATTACATTTTCCTGTGCCTCATTTCACTGTAAAAGCTCTTATGAAGTGTTCAGTTTTTCTAAACCTTTCCTCTTTCCCTCCCCCACCACACACACCCTTACATGCACATTCATTCATGCTCATACACTAACAATATATTGTTTTATAATTTTTTTTGGGGTCCGGTCGTGGGCCTGAACTTTGGGCCTGGGCGTTGTCCCTCAGCTCTTCAGCTCAAGGCTAGCGCTCTACCACTTGAGCCACAGCGCCACTTCCAGCTTTTTTCTTTTTGCTTATGTGGTGCTGAGGAATCGAACCCAGGGCCTTGAGCATGCAAGGCAAGTGCTCTACCACTGAGCCACCTTCCCAGCCCTGTATTTCTTTTCTTAATATTTTACTTGATATTT